TATGGGGTTGTGATGATGCGATTAAATAATGCTGACGGTAAATCAATGGAAACAAACGTTGGACAGCAGGGAAATCTCAGGGTATATAGAGCAATTTATTCAGAAACTAGTAACACGGATATAGTTAAGTATTAAACCAATAATAATTAACCATAGTATTCTCATACCAATGATTAAACATGTCTAACAACCTAATTCATTAAGGTTATGGAAGTGAAAAGGTAAGCATGCCGCAGAAGTTGATACAAAGCTCATCCAATGTAAATCTAGCAAGGGGGATTCGTAACTCGAATTCACTTAACAATATAGTTAACCGGCTTTCGCAATAAAAACTAATATATCAATCAACCTAATACTCGACTCTCGCAAAGCAATCAGATGGATGATATGCATAAAAAGGATTAAGATTCGATATATTAACCCGATCCTTAACACGACTCTCGCAATGATAAAGTTCAAACTCAACTATACTAGAGAAGCCACTACAATATAAACCAGATGAAAGCTCTATCATCTTTCAAAGGTGGATAAGTGGCCAATCTTTATAGAAACATGAATTGTCAAATTAAGTTGGGTCGACTCGACTTATGAGTTGTTAATCAAAGCTATATATATGTTTGTGGGAAATTTTTGATTTGTTAACAGTGAATGTAGTAGCAGTTTAATATATACATATTACCAAAATATATACATGTAGATATTAAAGAAATAAATTTAATAAAAAAATTTAAAATGTTATAAAGTGGTAAATAGCGCATTTTGTGATTGACATCAAACGCTTATATTCGTAACCACCCGTTAATACAGTGTTTACGGACGGTTAATTTTAATTTTTTTGGTGCACATGTCAATTGCATGTTATGGTACACAGGAACGGTACGTTGGGGAGATATTGAACGCTATCTACCTGCTTTTTTAGTATTTTATGGTAAATTGTTTGTTTTGCAGATGTTAACACTTTAAAAAAGAGAAAACTCTCTAATTACATAATAGATTGTAAAATAAATATTATACGTTTTTATTTGTTTTTTCTAAGACTATTACTTGTTGTCTCCAAAAGGCAAATACAGTGATTGATGATCAGCAACTACAAAACTAATGACTAAGCAGCTGCTTCTTCTTTTTTTTCTTCTGCTAATCTCGTTGAGTCAATATGCCGATTCTAATTCTGGCTCCATTGTCAAATTTCTTCCTGGCTTTGAAGGCCCCCTTCCTTTTGAGCTCGAAACCGGGTTTGTTGTGTCTTTATGTCATCGATCTTCATGAGTTTTTGTATGAAAGATTTAGTGCCAATTTATTTTTTATTGTGAATGAAGATACATTGGTGTAGGTGAGGAAGAGGAAGTGAAATTGTTCTACTATTTCATAAAATCTGAGAGAAATCCTGAAGAAGACCCTCTTCTTATTTGGATAAGCGGAGGACCTGGTTGCTCTTCTATCAGTGGCCTTCTTTTTGGGAACGGTAAAATCTGAAAATGATGTTTCTTCTTTTTCAAGACATTGTCTTGTGACCCAAGTTTCGTCTCGAAAATTGATGTTCTAGCATTAATTGAACGGATTTCGTGTCCAACATAGAAA